TCCACTGCAGGGACCCGGCAGACAAACGAACGCATCGGAGACCTCACGCCCATGAGTGATGCTGGTTGAAAGCTGTCGGGGTTGCATCCAGCTCCTCGCGTGCAGCCCAAGGGACCCCAGCTGACGGCCAGGAGGCCCCGTTCGATTGGGAAGCGCGGCTCGAATTGCCGGCGCGCAACGTGGGGTAGCGCCTTCGTCTGCCTCCGCGTTCCCGTTCCTGGACATGGCGGCCATGCGCTGCACGCCTTTTTCAACCTCACTCCAACAGTCCCGAGACATTGCATCTTGGGATCCAGAGTTTTGGGTACTATGCCGTTCCGAGTCCAGAGTTTCGAGCTGTGTTCAAAAAATCCAGATGCAAGAGTTCTCCTTGCTGCGCATGTTTCTTTTTTATCAGCATTAGTTCGTCTCATGTGCAAACTCCCGTCCCGCGTCTAATGCCATCCCCCTTCATCTGATTTGCTGTTTCTCCTCATGCCTCTGGTAGATTAGCTATCCTGGATCACCCCCGGTCATGAGGCTTGACCAACAAAGGCAATCAGCAATGTTACATTCCGTTGGCAGACTTTCAACCCCACCACCACGTCTTCGACCGCACTCCCTCCATGGATCAGACAAACATTTCCTCCTATCGGCGGACTCGCATACCATGCATTCCATCCACAATCAAATCAACCGTGACTGGACGAGCCAGATTGCGGGATTCTGTGGTCATGTGGCAGCGGTGCCAACATTGGGACATCTCATCTGGCTGAAAGAAGAAAGTCGCATAGGAGAAGAGGGAGGCAAGGTGATATGATGGGCAGGGGGAAGGCTTGGCAGATGTTGAGAAGATTTCGCCCCTTTAAATATTGCCTCTCCCATCTGGGAGTTGCAGAGAGTCAATTCCGGCTTTGGTTGCTAGACCTTTGTTGACGTTGACGTCCGACACCATGAAGTTCTTCGGTCGCAACGGTGCTCTGGCAGCCCTCTTGGCGGCCTCGCCGCGTACGTGACCGAGCCTCCCAACCAAGGCTTCCGCTAACATCATCACTTAGTCCTAAAAGGAGTTGCAGCTCAGGCCTCGACTCCAACAACCTACACCGACCCTACAACCGGGATCATTTTCAGCACATGGTCTGCTACGACTGCCCAGACTGCCGGCGGCCTGACGTACGGTTTCGCCCTACCTCAAAATGCACTCACGGTGGATGCCAACGAATACGTTGGCTATCTTGTATGTTATCGCCGTTTCTGAAATACGCCCTACTCGATGCTTACAAAGTGAACAGCAATGCGCTTCCAAGAATGGTCAAGGTACCGGTTGGTGCGGTATCTCCCTCGGCGGTACGATGACGAACAAGCTCCTTGTGATGGCGTGGCCCAACGGCAACGAAATCCTCACCTCCTTCCGCTGGGCAACTGGCTACGACATGCCGGCCGTCTACGCCGGTGACGCCAAGCTCACCCAGATCTCCTCGACCATCAATGCCACCCACTACACCCTCATCTACCGCTGCCAGAACTGCTTCCAATGGAACCACAACGGTGCTACTGGTAGCGTCAGTACCTCGGCTGGCTCCATGGTTCTTGGCTGGGCACAGGCGTTCAGCAGCCCGACCAACCCAACCTGCCCGGCCAACATCGTTCTTGCACAACACGAGAACCAGAACATCCACGGGACCTCGCTCAACAGCGACATTGCTAACCCATCGTACTCTGCCTGGGCTGCCCTGGCCACCAAGACTGTCACAGGTAGCTGCGGTGGAGGAAGCACATCCACGTCCGTTCCGACTGCGACGTCGACTGCGGCCCCAGGTCCTACTGGTGTCCCTGTCCCCTCTCAGTCTTACGACTACATCGTGATTGGTGCTGGAGCTGGCGGTATTCCTTTGGCTGACAAGCTGAGTGAAGCCGGCAAGAGCGTGCTGCTCATCGAGAAGGGTCCTCCATCTTCCGGCAGATGGGGTGGCACTATGAAGCCTACTTGGCTTGCTGGCACCAACCTCACCCGCTTCGATGTGCCTGGACTTTGCAACGAGATCTGGGAGAACTCAGCCGGTATCGCCTGTCAGGACACTGACCAAATGGCGGGCTGCGTCCTTGGTGGTGGAACAGCCATCAACGCTGCGCTTTGGTGGAAGGTCGGTTTACCCCTCTTGCCCATTGCCATATGTCGCTAACCTTTCCCAGCCATACTCACTGGATTGGGACTACAATTTCCCCACTGGCTGGAAGTCATCTGACGTAGCTGCTGCAACATCGCGGGTATTTTCCCGCATTCCGGGGACCACTACACCGTCTCAGGACGGCAAGGTCTACCTCACGGCAGGCCGCGATATTATTTCGGCCGGTCTCAAGTCTGGCGGTTGGACTGAGCTCGACCTGAACGCGAACCCCAACTCCAAGAACCGCACTTTCGGCAAGACGCCGTACATGTATTCAGGAGGCGAACGCGGTGGGCCGATGGCGACGTATCTCGTGTCCGCAAGCAAGCGCTCCAACTTCAAGCTGTGGATGAACACCGCCGTGAAGCGTGTAGTCCGTACTGGCGGCCACATCACTGGTGTTGAGGTTGAGCCATACCTCAGTGGGGGATACCAAGGCACCGTCAACGTAACCGCGGTTACTGGCCGAGTGATCCTGTCAGCCGGTACCTTTGGCAGTGCGAAGTTGCTGTTGCGCAGCGGAATCGGACCAAATGACCAGCTTGACGTCGTCAAGAGCTCCACGGATGGACCAACGATGATCTCGAACAGCTCATGGATCACACTTCCTGTGGGCTACAACCTTGAGGACCACACCAATGTGAGTTGACTGACAACGTTGGAATTTGAAGGAAACTGACCGGCGACAGACTGATCTGGTGGTCTCGCACCCTGCTGTGGAGTTTTATGACTTCTATGAGGCGTACGACGACCCCAACGTTACTGACAAGAACCTGTACCTCAACAAGAGGAGTGGTATCCTCGCTCAGTCGGCGCCCAACATTGGGCCTCTGTAGGTTGCCCGTCGTGAAACTTGAGACGGCCGCTAACGCAATGACAGCTTCTTCGAGGAACTCAAGGGTGCCGACGGAATCACTCGCCAGCTTCAGTACACTGCCCGCATGGAGGGCAGTCTGGGAGCTCCCAATGGAAGTAAGTCCTCCCACCCTGCTCACTCGATCGGCATGATAGCTGACTTTCCCCACAGAGTCCATCACGATCAGTCAATATCTCGGACGTGGTGCAACCTCCCGTGGCAGAATGACAATCCAGGGCAACCTCGGTACTGTCGTCTCTACCGTACCCTACCTTCGCGACCAAAACGACGTCGAGGCCGTTATCAAGGGCATCGAAAACCTTCAAGCTTCCCTCAAGAATGTCGCCAACCTGACCTGGCTGTTCCCCGAGCCGGGAACGACGGCAAGGAACTACGTCAACAACATGCTGGTATCGTACTCCAACCGTCGTGCGAACCATTGGATCGGTAAGCCTGCCCATAGTGCTATCCGTTGCCCTCGATGTCAATGAGTCTTGACGATAATAACCATCGTGTAGGCACTAACAAGCTTGGCACTGGCGATGGCCGCAATGGCGGCGATGCCGTCGTTGACCTCAACACCAAGGTCTGGGGCACAGACAACCTCTTCGTTGCAGATGCGTCCATCTTCCCAGGCATGGTGACAACCAACCCCTCGTCCTACATTGTCGTCGCAGCGGAGCATGCTGCTGCGAAAATCCTCGCCCTTGCGACGGCCAAGGCTGGTGCGCTGTACGACCAGTGCGGTGGTTCGACATGGAATGGGAGCTTCCAGTGCGCCACGGGCTTGAAGTGCACTTTCAAGGACTCCTACTATTCTCAGGTATGTCGCCTTTTCTGGACCTTCTCAATCCACCGACGATAAGAACGAGGGGAACATGCCCATTTTAAAGAACATTGCTGACACAATCGACAGTGCTTGTAACTTTATCAGTGGTGAGGTATGCGAGTCAAGCAGATCGCACGTGGACTTCATTTATCTTTTCATGTACATACTTTCTTCATCTTCCTCGTACATATTTAAAACGAACCTCTGGGAACATATCTCGTATAAATATCCACCCACCTCAAGCTTATCCCGACTTGTCCGTTTCTGTGACCATCTCAATGACATAGCTCCCTCCCTCGGCCCGTCCTCATCAAACATGCGCACCAATGATGTGCCCCGCGAGGTGCGCGAACCCCACACAGGCACAGCGCACCTGACGTCGCATCTGGCGAAAGATCTCCCGGCACCTGGGAGTTCCCCAGTTTCCCCTCGCGCGGCCCCTCTTCATAAGGTTGGGACCATGCCTGCGTTTCCCTGTTCTTGGTGATCTGTGCTGTCAAACAGGTGGTCCGGTGCCTGTCAGGTACCGAGCGAAACCTCGGAGGGGGCCGGATGTGCGGCCTTGTTTTGCTCTTTTGCCTTGTTTACCGCTACCTTCCATTTTCTCGACGATGTCTTTTGCAGAAATGAGGTTCTGCTCCGGTGGACTGACACACTCAAGTCATTTTATCCTGCCCAAATGGACCCTCGTGACTGACTAGCCAAGCAAATTAGAGAAGGCGGCTGCAACCTCACAAACTGCCTACATCCCGGCTCCGAGGCCCCCGCCACGTGTGAGATGAGCGAAGAGCATTTCTTCCATCACGGGAAAATCGCACTCTTAGTGGCTGGGCATCCACTCGAAGCGTATGAATGGTGGTCCATTTTAGCCTCGGCGGAGGTCTCCAACCTGAACCTTCCCACCTCCAGTGCCATGCGTTCCAATCCGTGGCTCCCTCCGAGCACGACGCTACTCGCGTTGCAATGTCGCGATACCCGCCCAACAGCACGCCTCGGCGGAGCAGTCGAGTCTCCATGACGACGTGTGCAGGCGTGACGACTTGATATCCCCAGAGCTGCGGGGTCGTTCACGCGGTGCTCATAAGCACTCACCTTCGCTCCCATCCCGTTGAACCCTTCATTCCTTTTCTCTCCAGCGTCCTCGTGATACCCTCAGTTCCCCACAACGATGCCCTCTCTCAAAGCCCTTCTCGGCGCTGGCCTGGCCGCAACAGCAGCCCTGGCCTCCCCGATCCAGTCCCTTGACTTCAGCGACCTCGCCCCCCGCGCGGATCCCAGTCTGACCGGATACCTCGGCGCGTTCTTCCTCGGCGCCGACCCGTACGTCTACATGTACCTCAGCAACGGCAACAACGCCGTCTCCTTCCGCGCGCTCAACTCTGGCTCGCCGGTGATCAAGCCCACCAAGGGCACCGGGGGCGTGCGCGACCCTGCGATTGTGGAGGGCGGCGGCGCGGAGAAGGGGAAGAAGTGGTACATTGTTGGAACTGATTTGGACATTGGCAAGGTACGTTGGGATCTCTTTTCTGTCATCTGATGGTGTTCATCCAATGTTGGGTCAGTCTAACACGAAAGTTCAGACGACATGGGACGCCGCCCAACGACAGGGCTCCAAGGGCATCTTCGTCTGGGAGTCGACCGATCTCGTGAACTGGAGCGGCGAGCGCCTCGTCGTCGTCGAGAACTCCAGCGCCGGCATGGTCTGGGCCCCGGAGGCCATCTGGGACCCCAGCAAGGGCCAGTACCTCGTGCACTGGGCCTCCAAATTCGTAAGTCTGCCCCTCACGGCCGTCGGCTTGCCATTGAATCCCCCGTAATCTAACACCACGCCGCGCAGTACCCCTCCTCAGACCCTAACCACACCGGCGCCCCGGGCCCCATCGTGATCCGCTACGCCTACACCTCCGACTTCAAGACCTTCTCCGCGCCCGCGACCTACATCGACAAATCCCCCACCAACATCATCGACCTCAACATCCTGCCGACGGGCACCGACGGCAAGTCCTTCGTTCGCTTCCTCAAGGACGAGTCGCTCAAGACCGTCTTCGTCGAGGTCTCGACCACGGGGCTGTTCGGCACGTGGACTCGCCCGGGCGGGTCGTCCGCGATCATCCAGAGCGGCGTCGAGGGCCCGGCGAGCTACTGGGACAATCAGGTCGCGGGCAAGGCGCACGTGTTGCTGGACTTCTACGGCGAGGATGGGTACCGGCCGTATGAGACGGGGAATGTGGCGATTAATAGCGGGTGGAGCGCGAGTTCGCGGACGGGGTTCCCGATTGGGTTGAGGCATGGGAGTGTGTTGCCTGTGAATCAGACTTTGTATAACGCGTTGGGTGCGCGTTGGGGTTGAAATTCATATATTCCTTGAGAACTTTGACGCAGAGAGTATCTAATGAGCCATGAATATTGAAAAAGATATCTATTTGCTCGTGTATGTGTTCTTTCCCGTATCCTTCGCTTGAAACTCGAGATGCAGCGTTGTTCAACACGCCCCTGGTCGTCGTTTTGGCCGTTTGTTGTTCATCTGTGTTCCATTGCCACGTCTCTTTCTTCTATCACCTATTCCTGGAGCTGTAGAGATGGCAACGGTCCTTGCACTGCACTCCTTAGTACCAGGCGCCAGGTTACTTGCTGCATTATGAGCACCATTGCTTCTGTGATTCATGCTCATTGTTCGTCACCAGACCGACCGTCCACTCATTGATTGTCAAGGCAGTAGTGCAAGAGCCGTGGAGCTTGTTCGGGATCTAAGCATGCCTGAGCGACGGAGAATTCGTACTGGAGCTTGGTCAACTCTAGTGACTCTCTCGAAACATCCAGGGACTCTTTTGCATATACAACCGCAATGAGACCGAAAATGAAGCTGATTATAGCAAGCCCAGTCACGAATGCAGCGATCCATAGGTTAATCGACTCAACAAGATTCCGGCGGTCCTTTCGAGGCAGAAGCTGGCGTAACCCACTGGCTGGTCCGTCGATGATCTGAAGAAGCTCCTGGATATTTTGTCCCCAGAGGGGATAGTGTTTCAAGTTCGTCCTCTGATCCCTCCCGCAGAATCCCAAGCCGTGGAACGCCATGCCTTGTTCTTCGACAAACGACCTGGTCGAAGCATCGCTGTGAGGAAACAAGAGGTTTAGTGTGTCGAGAGCCTCACATACAACGTTCTGCGGAAGAAGGCAATTCTCTGGAGAGCGGATGTGTACGTCGAGCCACACTTTGTGTTGAGTCTACTTTTGTCATAGAACACAGTGAGGCTGCGAGGCAGACGGCTTTCAAGCTAAATCTTGCCTGTTCGTTCTGTTCTAGGCCTGACTCAGCTTCCGGGAAAATCTCGCCTCGGCTTTTCTCAGTGGATGACAGTAGAAAGCGTATCATCGTGCCAATGGTATTGGTTTCGCTACGCAAGGCTCGCTTCGGAACGCGGGCAAACCGAGCTGACTCTTCTCTGGCATAAGCGGCGAGCATGGCGTATTGGTCTGCATCATACAAGAAATTGGGGGGGGGGGGGGGTAGCAATTGCTGGCCAAATATCCTTGCATAAATTGACATCGGCGTCGTTGCCTCGCGGAGGCTTTTGGTAAGATGAGTTTTTGAAAGGCATTAGGGAACTGTTGGTGGCGCAAGATCATGCAACCAATGAGTGGTAAATGGTGGTGACACCGCTTAGTAGAGCATCTGTCCATGCGATGGTATTGAGTGCGGGGGGGGGTGGGCTTTGACCTGGGCGCTGACCGGCAGAGTTCAGTTCTATGCTAAGAAAGCTGCTGATTTGCTGTTTGCTACGTACATGTATTGAGGGAGCCCAGCAGACCGCCTTACTTCTGGTATTGCGTCAAACGTCACTAGGAGCCAATTGACTGACAAGCCACATTCGAGCATGCATGGCTGCCTACATGAATAGTAGCCAATTGCTAACTGGCGACGATGCATACAGTACTGCCATTGGGTCATACGGCTTGGTGATCGAGATCGCAGCCTCGACTTCGTCATCTGCTGGTGCATCAGCAGGCATCACGGCGTAAGAGCAATAAAATAGTCTAGTCTCTGTGTGAAAAGAGTGAAGTGCTTCTTGAATCATTTCTTGGAAATGGATCGAAAGTTACGAAGTTTGTCGAGCTGGCTAATCAATCTAGACCGGGACAATAGCCAAGCGAGGTCGGTCAACTCGTTCAACCTGTGGCGCCCTGCAAAACCCTCACAAGGCAGAGACCCCGCCGCATCGAACATTTCAACAATCAGAACCAACGAGAGAATTCAGAGCATAAGTGCCAGTAACAGTGTTGCACAGGATTCGACGGTGGAAGACGAGCCCTCTTTAGTATCTACTCAGCAAGAAAGCACGAACAATACCGCAACACTAGACTCCCTCGCATCATCATTTGTCACAAGCACATGTGGAGCATCAGTCACGATCGAAGTATCTTCAAAAGATGAAGTTTACCTGTTTACAGACGATATCTGGGTAGGTTTTGAGCCAAAGGTCTGCGTGCCTCGGCATTATCAGGATGGGTGGGATGGCTTCAGGGCCCGTCTGGAGAAAGACTTACGCCCAACTGCTAATCGAATGACGGGCGAACAAGCCAAGAAGACATTTTTCAAAGACTGATGTCCAGATTTACGAGAATACAACGTGGAACTTCGCATGTCAGGACGTCGCAAACGAGGCGCACCATCGGTCACTTTGTGGCCGTGCGTGTGGATTCTATGCGGAAGCGACTGGTGCGTGAAGCATATTCGAAAAGCTTTGAAAGCCTTATCATGGCACGAAAGTTTCACCGGGAGGCCAACAGAAGTTCATGTTGGCTGGCCTATGGCTGCGACGTTGGAATCCCTCGTTCCTATTGAGGATCTCACGAGTATGATCCAATTCGGACAAGGGGTACCTTGTAATGGCGGTCACATCATCTACCATATTGGCATTGAAGAGGTTCACCGGCGATACCGATCGGCTTGTGGGTTGCTTTGCTGCGCTACATATGTATATGCGGGCGAAATTGTTCATCAACAATTATCCCGTGTTGGAGGGCTCATTCAAGTCACACACCCATTACACTACACAGGCCAGAAGGTGATGGCCATGATGTTGACGACTGCTCATGGACTGATGGACCGGATCTCACTTTGGTCGGATATCGACGATCTCCCGAAACATAGGGCGATGTGCGAAACATCCCCAATGTCTATTGACGAGATGCCGTCCTCGGATACGATGTCTTCTTCGTCATCTCCTCGCTCAGACTCTACGCTTGACTATGGGCCCGACTCTGCTGTCTCGCGGCATATTGGGGAAAGAGATACCGCGTGTGTACGCGATTGGGAGAGGCTGGATGGGCTGTATGCTCTTAACTATCTGGCTGATGTGCTATATCCACCCCAACGGAACGGACAAGCAAATCCTCCCGTCAGTGACTATGCACTACTAGCGGCGCGCAACGGCGATGGATATAGCAACACTCACGTGTCGGCAGATGGGCTTCGGATCAATGGATTAACAGGATATATGGGCAATCAGCAGTTGGTGCCTGGGACGGTCGAAATAGTTCTGAGCCCAACACAAACGGAAGCGGCGTACTTGATGGGGGGCATATCATATTGGAGATACCGAGATCGGCAAATGAAAGTCCGCAGGATAAAGCTCTCCGATCCACTAGGTCAGTACACACCATCTGCAGCCTAGGTTACTTATGTATCACTCCCATCTACGTGTGCCAGTTCTGACCTTATTATAGCCCAAGGCACGTCTGGTACATGGGTAATTAGACACACATCGCTGTGCGGCTTGGTTGTGGCTGTATATCCGAGCGAACCGTTGGCAATATTACTCACAGCAGGGGATATACTAGAAGATCTTGATACGTCATACCTGCTCGAGCACTATGGAGAATCGAAAGAAAGCAATGGAGAATTCTCGACTTCTCATGATCGAGACATCCATCGAGAAATGGCCCCTGAAGGCCGCCGAGAAGTAACCCCCGAGCCTCACGGAGACACGGCATCTGAAAGCTCAAGACCCAAAATCGCTACTGCTCGCCCAGTTCCAAACCCCCGGAAACTTCGAAGTAGACATTGGGTGTGGGCTTGTGTAAGTCTAATTTATCTGAAAGTCATTATCCCACTAACAACCTAAGTGTCAATGTGGCGACAGTGGTATGACTGCCCAACTGTTCAGCTGCCCAAGCTGTGGACAGCGGCGATGTGAAAGGTGTCAGCCCCAGGAGGTAGTGCTGTAAGACTAAAGGTCCATATGATAGGAAATACGTTTAACCAAATATGCTTTGTATTGATACCAGTACCTAGTACTTGACGCTCTATGGTGATTCAACGCGAAATTCGCAAATTTGTTCAAACCCAGGGTAAACGACACCCAGACGATGACCGTTGTAATACAAAGCAGCGCCCTCAGCGGAGTGCCACCATTCCAAGATGCCAGATTGAGTGACCTGAAGCCAGCGAGCTGTTGCTTGATCTTCTGGTGCCTCACATGTCACCACCGCAACATATGCATAGGGATCGCTTTGCTCGGTCTGTTTGACACAGAAATATGAACTGTCCCTCTCTCCAACCGAAATCCTCTCTAAAATCATGTCGTGACGGAAAAAGCTGACACATTCGCGGTGGCCATCTGCATAGCGAAGAAGCATTCCTAAGATTGCTCGATGCGAGCCAGTCGCAAAGCCACAAGTTTGAACCTCAGTCAAGTGGCACATAGAGCATGAGGAGTAAAAGCGAAGTGTGTTTGGGATAGTTCGTGGAAAGTTCGAGATAGAAACCACAGGAGCAGGTAGATTCTCTTGGCTGAGCTTGGCCGGATCGCCGCTGGTCTGCTGAACACCAACGAAATCGACGAAGCTTCGGCGGAAGAAGCCGTCCCGGTCATTGTAGTATAGTCGACACGGGTTATGTGAGAGCTTCCAAACGCGTTTATATTTCCCATCGTTTAGTCCGTAGATTCCGAAGAAGACAGTCCGGTCACGATTGGTTGTGAACTAGAATGAACTGGTCAGCCTTAGTGGTAAAGAAAGGGCATTTCCCTCACAGTCATTCCAGTAACGTCCTGTCCCGTTGCAAAAGGCGGCGCGATTAGCCTGCAAATATCGGTAAGATACTCCCCTTGATTCATAGGCATAAACTGCCAGTAGCAGTCCGTGGGACAGGTTTTCTCGTACACGCGTTGGACGTCTGCGTCACCTTTTTTGTGGGCAACAACGCCAGCAATTGCGCGTCCCTTGAGCGCCACCGAGTATCCGACCGTGTCAGGTGCGTTGCAATCGAAGAAGTCCATGCGAAGCCCATCTGGAGGATCACGGGGTGGTTCCAATGTCGCTAGTTTGACGACGAGTGGAAGTGATGAAAGAGGGGCCGGCCAGCCGACCAAAGCCAAGTCTTGCATTTGGCTGCTCTGGATACTTCTCACTTTTAGACCCTGTGATCGGTTAGTATGCGACTGGAAAATTCATAGTGCATACGAACATCGCCGTTGATGGTGATGGCAGAGGGCATAACTCCCTGAGAAATGTTCTTCCACCAGGCGCCGGGCACACTAGATTGGATGCGACACCATTCCTCCAGATTTTGTGTTGAAACAAAAGCCAGTCGACGAATTCCGATATGATCTTCTGCGACGAAAATATTCATGTCCTTCTCTCTTGAGTTTCGAGTCGGAAGTAGAAGGCAGCATCCACTGCCACTTCTTGAATCGGGTGTGTTTTGCAGTCTCTTGATGTAGTATCGACCATCGATTTTTATGTAGGATGCGAACACAGATTGATTCAAGTCAAGGACAGAATCGCCAACTTTATCAGCTGTACGCACCTGGCACTCCAACATATGGAGAGCGCACCACCGGACTAGATGCCGGGCAACAATCAACCACAACTCGTATGGAAGAAGTTGGGCCCCAAAGTCCATCTGCTCCAATTTGCAAGCCAGAATCTGCCGGTTGAATTCAGCCCGTCGCCGTTCCTCCTCGGGAAAAGGGGTGAAGGAGAACTCAGTTCCGGCCAGGAATATCGGCGTAATTGAGTACAAGCGGTCACGATAGCAATCAACATGATAGCACACGGTCGCCTCTTCACGAACTCTACACTTCTTGAGGAAGCAAGTGTGAAATTTGATGTGAAGCCCTCGGTCCCAGAAGTCTCCGAAGTGTGGCAGTTTGAACTCGGTAGCGAAGCCTTCTTCGACAGCTAATTAAGTATTTCACCATTAGCATTCGAGCTCAGTACAGCAGCTAGCCACGCACCTGCTATAATAACGTCGCCTCTGTGCACAGGGAATTGGCAAAGTCTGCAGCGGGCCTGGGTAAAACAGAAGTAGGACGCGTTGAATTCGTTTGCCATGGTTGGAAACTCATGTGGATCACAGCCGCCACATTCACTCCGTCGTTGGGAAGTTGGTGGATATATGACTGGGCGCGGGGAGAAGACATCAAATCATGTGTGCCTAATAACTATGCGGGGGCTGTGCCTGGCATGTTGGATGCTGACCTCAGCCACCCCATTCTCTGATCCATGGATAGATCCTGCATGGCACCAACACACCGCTTTACTCATTGCACAACGGCTTCACTCGTGGCCAATCATAACTCGAATCCAGCCGTACATGGACAAAGTTACTCCGAACATGTCTCGGTTTCAAGCGCCAGACATCTTGCCATACAAAACTATCATGTCAGGTACTCATTGATGGCAATGGGAAAAGCAAATGAGACTCGGGAGCACAATCATGTCATCAAGAGGGCTTGTCATTCAACTTCTTTAAGGTTCGGCTCTTAGATGGGACTCGCCGATTGCAATGGAAATATCCGAACGGGAAGCAAAATTTAGAAAATACGCCGATACTATGAGTAATAATCATACCCCATCATTTCCCCGTCTAGAGCTTCAGCCTAGTCGCCTCGGACTTGACAATAGTAATCACTTCATCTTGGAGACTCTTTTCCTGTGGCTTCCATCCAAGAACCTTCTTAGCTCGGATGGCAGCAGCTCGGGAGTTCAGGCCCCAGCTCGCTGCCTCGAATCCAGCAGATGACTTAACTGCCTCGTCGTAAGACAGACCTCGCACCTCCGGCTCTCCTCCCTTGATGAAACCCTGCTTGTGGGCTTCCTTTCCGACGAGCGTTGCCAAATCACCCCAGACGTGCTCGCCATTCTCAGTGAAGAAGTAACCGTGTGCTCCCCAGATCTCCTTGTCATCCTTGCGAGATGGGTCGAGCGCGGCCTCAACCAGCAACTCGAAAACTACGCTGAGGTCGTGGACATGGACGTTGTTCCACCGCGCAAGGCCCTGACCGATGCGGGGGCTGTATCCCTCTTTGAGCACGAAAGTAGCCAGCTCGTACACTTGACGACCACGCCCCGACACTGGGCCTCGCCCCTCGCCGTAAATAGTGGGCGGGCAGACAATGGCAGTCTTGACGGAGTCGGCGTGTTTGATGCCGGTGTTGAGGACGATCTCGTCCACATTACGGTGGAAAGCGGCGGCCGGCAGGTTTACGACCTCATCGACACCATCATAGTCGTTAAAGACCTTGTCGTCGTGCTCTCCATACGTCTTCTTGACTTCTGAGTCGAAATAGGTGAGAATGCCCGTGCCGCCCGTGTGCAGCCAGAACCCAGGCCTGGATGGCGAGTGACCAGACACAAGGCCTCTTGCGATAGCCTCCGCCGCGCCTGAGTGATCCGACGAATCGGCAGTGTCTGGGATGAAGTTAGTGGGTTGCTGGCTAGGATCTCGGAACAAGGTGAAACTCACGGATTACGATGTCAGCCCATGCTGCCTCGCGCTCCAGAATCTCGGAATCATCAAGGCCCCCGATGACAATCCTGGCTTTAGGAAACCTTTCCTGCACCTTCTTTGCCTTTTCTTCAGTCCGAATAAGCAGTGCATACTCAAAGTCTGAGTGCTTCTGGTACAACTGGTAGAGAGTGTCGCCGCCGATGTAGCCTGTGGCTCCCGTAAGGAAGATTTTGGCAGGCATTGTTGTTGGTGGTCTGGTGAAAGGAAAACGCTGGGTCCAAGATTTCGTCTGGTAGCTCTGAGATGTTTGGAATCGTGATATAGCTGTCGTCGCTTGCGTGTGAATTACGTAGTTGGCTTCTATGACGTCTGTATGGATTTCTAATCGTGAGTAAAGCGCCCCCCGGATATTTGTTTAGCCACTCGGCTGCACAGAAGGCATTACGTTCCCCCAACCCCACTCAAGCCATTCACATCGATTGGTTTTTCTCTTTTACCGTGAGCGTTTGTCGAAGGATCGCTCGTTGATTTAAGGTTATTTCTGCTGAAACTCATGTCGGTTGAGTTTCACGAGGAGTGCGTGACAGACTTCAAGCTTCTCACAATAGCGGGGTACTTGTTATCACATTGATTACCCCTCATTTGAATTGGATGGTGATCGCATCGCGCGACGCCCCACATTTGTCAATCTAACAATGAAGTTGGCATCTAAACGTTTCCATTGGAAACCCCGGATGTGTATTAACGATTGGCGAGTCAACGGTCACCGCTTAATGTTTGGTACCTATTTACTCGAAAGAGCAAGAGAGGGTCAGCCTATCTCTCACGCCACCCTCTCGTACCACGCCTACACAGGACCACGCCTACACAGGAACTAGAGTGCTGTTTGCGACTGGGTGGTTGAGGACCTGCGTTGGCGGAATGGAAGGCTAGTCTTGGGGGAAATCTTGGCTAAGCCTCATCGAGGATGTCTCTCAAGGCTTGCAAACCTGGCTGCTCATGAGGAATACATCAAGATGTGGTTGCTGGCTTTCGCAGTCCCCCGACTGGCAGATTCCTGCACCGCAGAAATCATCGTATCTTCCACAGCGACCGTCGATGCTACAACATGTTCCTTGTTTGCCAGCGCACTTGCGGTTCCCATTTGCATACCCACAGGTTCCATCTGTGGTGTACACTTTGTGGCCCCAGCAGATGCCTTCCCAGCAAGTACCAGGTGCACAGTCAATGCTGAATATTGTGTAAATACGTTAGCCACGGCAACTCTTGACGAAAGACTTTGATCGCTTATAATTGGAGCAGCAAGACGAGCCACTTACTCTCTCTCGCCACATCTCCAAGTCTCCGAGTTGCAGCATTGCCCGTCCGTACCAACGCAGGTGACGCCCGGACGCGACGGGCCGCAAACCCCGTCCCACGCTCTTTTGGGTTCGATGACTGTGACAGAATCGTTGAGCATGTCGTAGTTCGCCAATACATGTAGTATATGTCTACTCACATCCAGCAGTGCAGTACGTTGCACATGGAAGTATGTGCTTGCAGTCGCGATTCAGAGACGGATTCAAGAAAAGAAATTTCTCAAGCGAGATTCCGAAGTCGTCTGCAAGCTCCTGACATGTTTCGGGGCCAACTTTCTCGTAAGTGTCACCCAAAGAGCGACAGTTGATCTCCCCGGGCTGAGTATCACCTCCTCTGATATCGTGAATCGTCGTGTGAGTTGGGCATGGCCTGGAGATTGTGACAGCAGGGTGGCTAGGGGTCGTAGGATTGGCCCATGTGTGCGGTTGGCATGTTCCGGTGCTCGCGAGCAAAGAGGGTAACGTCCCACACCCACTTCTCGGCCACCCCCACATTTCGGCCACCCTAAAATGCCTCATCGAAAATACTCAGCGCCATTTTCAAACTTGAATAGATTTACCAATTTTCACTCAATCATCACCATTATTTCTGTGAAGCATAATAACTACCGAATGCGTCAGTATACAGAAGATGAAATTTCTCGGGCACTTGAGGCTATCGCAGCTGGTGCTAGCCTACGAAAAGCTTCATTACAGTATGGTGTTCCAAGAACAACTCTCCAATCTCGAATCCATGGCACCCAGGCAAGAGATATTGCCTTTTCTGATCTGCAAAGGCTTTATCCAACCCAGGAAAGCCACCTGGCTGAATGGGTTCGAATTCAGGCTGCCCTAGGCCTGCCTCCAACCCATCAACAACTCAAGGACTTTGCTGAACGCATCCTACAGGTCCATGGAGACTCCCAGCCTCTTGGAAAGAACTGGGTGCAGTCTTTTATTAAGAGAAACCCATCTGTAAGGGTCCAAAGAAGCAGACCAATCGATTCTCAGCGTATCAATAGAGCTTCAACTAATGTAATCAGGCAATGGTTTAAGCACCTCGCCATACCTGAGATCATAGCCATCAAGGCCTCTAATCGATACAATATGGATGAGACTGGTATTCTAGAAGGCAGAGGATCAAATGGGCTTGTTCTTGGATCATCAGAAACTCGTTCTATCCGCAAGAAACAGCCTGGATCGCGTGCTTGGACATCTCTGATCGAGTGTATCTCTGCAACTGGCAAGGCACTGCCTCCACTTGTTATATATAAGGGCAAGAATGTCCAGCAGCAGTGGTTTCCTCTAGATCTGACGCCATACGAATCCTGGAAGTTCACAGCTACAGAAAACGGGTGGACTTCAGACTCTACAGCTGTTAAGTGGTTAACAGAGGTCTTCATCCCTTCAACCCAGCCAGGGGACCCCTCAGAGGTCAGATTATTGATCTTGGATGGTCATAGAAGCCATGAGACTACTGCTTTTATGTATACATGCTTCAGGAACAAGATACACTTGCTGTTCTTGCCAGCACACACGTCACACGTCCTTCAGCCACTTGATCAGTCGGTTTTTGGGCCCCTCAAGGCAGCATACAAGAAGGAGCTTGGATTACTAGCTGAATGGGATGCTGGTACAGTTGTAGGCAAGAGAAATTTCGTTGTATGCTATGGTAAGGCGCGTAAGGCAGCCCTGACAAGCAAGAACATCATCAGTGGCTGGAAATGGACTGGTTTGTGGCCTGTCAGTATGGCTAAACCCCTCATGAGCCCTCTGCTGCTTGAGAACACATCAACCCCTGCTAAACCAGCTGGTCAGGTCTGCAAAGGGCTCTCTGATGGTAAAACAAGCGAAAAGTGGGCGGTAGATACATCAGCAGTCCCTTGGTCAACCCCTCAGAAGAGGGATGAGCTTCAGGATCAGTTCAGCCTATTCAGCAAGCTGGATAACGATGAGCATACGCAGCGCCTGCTTTTTCGGAAGGTTCAGAAGGGCTTTGATGAGAAGGCATACCAACTGGCAGTAGCCCAACGAAAGATTGAGGCACTACAGGCAGAGGTTGATGCCAGTAGGGCCAGGAAACGGAAGAAGGTTAAGATGAGCCCAAATTCGAAGTTTGCCGATATTGAGGCTATTCGGAGGGCTCAAATCGAGGCGGGCGAACTTGAAAGTAGCACAGATGAATCCAGCGAGTCAGAAAACCCTAGTGACAGCGAAAGTTGCATCGTCGTGGCATCATAATACATATAAATTTTAGTTGAAGTTGATGTGTATAAATGTGAGGGCATCAAAAGTGAGTGGCCGAAATGTGGGGGTGGCCGAGAAGTGGGTGTGGGACGTTATGGGGGTAATCCCGTGCACCAGTGTCGTAATGAACGTGACAATAGTCCCGATGCAGAACAGAACATGGCCAACCTTTGGATACATCATTTTCGGACGAGAAGACGCAGATATGTCTTTTATCCAATTGTACAATTGCGTGTAAAGGTCGGCATTTTATACCTGCAAAGTGGCATGTTGGAGTGACCTGAATGTGCCGCAAAGACAAGGGCGTCCAAGGCAAATAGATATCTCCAGTCGTCATGGCAACATTAGGCAGCAGTCTCTGGATACATGCGAGAGAAAGACTGGTAGAAAGAAACGGTGAAACGTCAATACATTTATGTCCGACCCAACGGCATCGATTGTCCCCGTTAGAAGTAAAGTTATTGTACTGCCTTAGCAGGAGCCCATAAAGAGAGAATTGCTGAAGTTTATGCGAAAGTGGGTTAGTTATGGAATATGTAATTGGTCGTTGGAAGGTGTGCAGATTGCCGCGCTGGCCGACGTAAAAGACCGAATCATACCAGGCGCCAAAAGCATCTTGTAGAAGCCCCGCTTCGTCAATTTGCGTTGGGAAAGTTTTACTGACCCCAAACGACCTCGAACGACCTCTCCTTGTATCCTCTCGAAAGTCCGACTTGATTTGAAACACAGCTGTCAACCTAATGATCTTTGCTGCCATCATAAATTCCCTCATATTTAGGACAACCGCACCTGACCTACTTAGTCCTTGGCGACTGAGCGTCCAGCTATGAGACTGATTGACACGGAAACGATGGATATCGTTGAGCGCTTTGGCGCATCCATCGAGCCTTATGTTATTCTCTCGCATACTTGGGAGGATGAAGAAGTCACCTTTCAGGATTGGGACAAGCCTAGCATAAGGAACGAGATGAAGGGTTTTCAGAAAATCAGGCAAACATGCGAGCTCGGTGCTGCTGACGGTTACCGGTACGCTTGGGTTGACACGTGCTGTATCGACAAGACCAACAGTACGGAGCTTTCCGAGGCCATCAACTCAATGTACAAATGGTACGAAGATGCCGCCGTCTGTTATGTCTATCTTTCGGACCTTCGCGATGGCGCCAGCGACGAGGCATTGAAAGAACAGCGCTGGTTCAAACGCGGCTGGACATTGCAGGAGCTGATAGCTCCACGAGTGGTCCAATTCTTTTCTCGGAACTGGCTACGCATTGGAGTGAAAGCTGGTATGGCGAGGTTACTTTCAGAAATAACATCCATCAACCATGACATTCTATCTGTGTCTCAGGACCTGAACGACTTCAGTGTGGCTGAAAGAATGTCATGGGCATCTGGGAGAGAGACGACCAGACCAGAAGACTTGGCATACTGCCTACTTGGATTTTTTGGAGTCAATATGCCAATGCTGTACGGAGAGGGGAAGAGGGCTTTCCTGCGACTTCAACAAGAAATCATCAAAACTACAAACTACCTATCCATATTTGCCTGGGAGTATGTACCCGTTGTCCGTCGCACGTGGCAAGATCACAAGAATATCACCTGCGGTATATTTGCGGAGTCCCCGAGCGAATTCGCCATAAGAGATCCTCTCGTCGGGTCAAAGCTGAAGATCACACCTTTGAAACGACAGACAGAGGGCGATGTTACTGTCACAAATGCTGGCATCAAAATAACCTGCAGACTCCAGCTGGTGTGGACGCGACATAAGGGAAATTACTCTTACGTTCTTCCCGTCGCTCGCACTCACGGGGAATCCACCAGAAAACGGAACATGTTCTTTCACGACGACTTAGGCGTCATGTTGAAAAAGATTGATTCAGGTCTATTTGTCAGACAAAACCCACTGTCGCTCGTCAGAATGAACAAGCGGACCAAGCGTCTGGACGTTGATCGATACTGTCCCAACGCCTACATTCTCAATGATCTTTCCATGTGGGGCCCTCTGGATCGGTACAGGGAACTACGATTTTATTGGCCGCCGGGAGTCAGAGTTATCCGATGTTGGCCTTGGTCTGACTGGGACGATGGGACTGGAGTATTCATGACTGGGCGCGATGGTCCACGTGGATCTATGCTCATCGAAGTGAAGGTTGAGGACCCTATCGACGGCATTCCGCCACAAATCATGGAGTTCATGTTTGTGTTCTTCGGTCCCCTTGACCAAGACTACCTGACGTACACACTTGTCGAATATGGCCCTTATCAGATGCCGCTGGATCTCATTAATTTGAGACTCCATGGAAGAGACATGAGCCGTAAGGAAATGTTTCATGCTTTGAGGAGGTCGCCAATTCCCAGACAACATCCTGCTTTGGCCCGTATTCTAAGGACTGAGTATGGTGTCCGTCTCTCAGTACAGGCAGTGGAGACCAAGCCTCCGAAGTGGGAGTTTTCGATGATTGTAGATAGCTTCGATCACATACCGGAGGTTGAGATCCTGCCTTGGTCAGACATGCCGCTGCATGTCTAGAAATGGAACGATTAAAATGCATCTAGACGAAAAGCATATCTGTAACAAACCTTCAGGTGAAAAAAAGGTCTCAATCTGACCGTAACTACTCGTCAAGATACCCACCGTCGAGATTATCTTTTTGCCTCTGCCCACATTTCCCCTCTTCCTCAGTTCCTGGTCTTCCTCCTCCAATCGATCAGTACGGAAACGTAGTTGGGCACAGCCAAGGACGTGATCTCACGTCGTGGACAACCAGCCGATACGACTTACCAAATCGGGTTCTGAAGGATTTCGAAACATTCCTTCATGCCGCCTAAGCTTCCGACGATAGCGGCCATGAAAAATCACACGGAGGTTTGTCTGACAAGGTAGCTTACGGGTATCTTCGTGTGGGTCGTGGTGGAACGTCGACCTATCTTTTACTTTTGTAGCTCTTACTTGAATCTGAATACGTCATCATCCACAGCCATAAGCCCTATGAGGCACTCTTACCCAAACCGTGACAAGGCGAGTTGGGACAATTGCGAACTTCGGCCCGACGTTACATAAGCTGCGTGCACAGCTGGTGGGATAATTAATACATATGTCTGACATAGTCCCCAAAAATCCTCCGCCAGTTTCGGTCGTACTGCTTTTTCCTTAGACTCCCAATCAGCAACAGAGATCCATCCATAACCATGTCTCCAGCCTCAACTCCGCAGCTAATCTTCGGCACTGCAAGCTTTGGTGACAATTTACCAATGTCGAGCAGGTGCAGTCGTGTCTGGATCTGCTGAAAGAACATCATGTCCATGTGCTGGATACGGCAGGCCGGTACCCGGCCGAGGCTCAGGGTAGATCGGAGGAATTGATTGGGGGAACCAAGGCTATTCAGCAAGGCTTCCAGGTCGATACCAAGATTCTTGCAATGTCAGCTGATCACAAGGGGGAGCTGTCGAAACAAAACATCGAACACAGTGTCAGCGACAGCCTTCGGCGATTGAATATTCCAAAGGTATGAAAAGGCAGACTTTCAATGCTATCAGCCTGCGATTTGAAGTCAAGGGTCTGACATCGATCGCAGATCAATACTCTTCATATTCATTTCCCTGATTCCCAAACGCCCATTGAAGAGCAGGCCTCAACGCTTGATGAACTTCACAAACAGGGAAAGTTTGCTCAGGTAAGTTGAATTACCTATGGACCTCGATATGAAGATTCATTGCCACATTTGGAGTTCAACTAACAGTTTCTACCCTAAATGTAGCTTGGAGTGTCAAACTTCACTGCCAGTCAACTCACTGCCTTCATCGAGGTGTGCGATAAGCATGGGTTCGTAAAACCTACGGTCTACCAAGGCGAGTACTCGCTCGTCAGCCGAGGCATGGAAAAGCATTTGATTCCCATTCTTCGTGAGCATGGCATTGTCTTCAACGCTTTCAGAGTCATTGCCGCGGGATTTCTCTCTGGAAGCCTTACATCTGGCTCTACGGAAGGCACGCGATTCAGTGGCGATGGCCGAATTGCCAAGTACATGTCAGCCTTGTGGGACAAAGAGTCGCTACATAATGCCCAGCGGAAGCTAAATGCCGCTATCAAAGACGTTGGAATCACGTCTATCGAAGCGGCATTGCGGTGGGCTTATTATCATTCGGCACTTGGGCAAGGTGACGGCATCATCTTGGGGGCCAGCAAGGAATCTCAAATTGAGAGGTATGCTTCGACATCTGCAGATCCGGAGGCTTTTATGATCTAATTCTGACTTTGTAAATAGTAACATCAGGGCAATTAGAAACGGCCCACTCCCAGACACCGTTGTTGCTGCTATCGAGGCCCTTTGGGAAGATCTCCGAGCTGAAAGAGAAGATAGCTACATTAACTAGAACAAATGGGCAAAGAATGAGAAATTGAGTATTACTTTCGTGAGGAAGCTTTCTGACATACTATTGACAAAAGATGGGACAAACCGCTGTCCTACTGTTGCTCGACCACGCCGCCCCTCGAGCTCAAATGTCTAGAGCGCGAAGCATATAAGCGTGTAGATGTTGCTATGTGTTTCGGGATCAACTACAACGGTCCTTGGCAATTCAATGAGAGGGGACTGTGGGTTTTCTATCCGCAAGGACATCAATGAGGTAACGCCACCTACCGCAAAATGGCATAATCCCATCGAGTACTTTGGCAACAGCCCAGTAATACGGAAGTAAGTGTGGGGCAAGTTGGCACCTCAGCCGGGTAAATGGATGGTGAGACACGCATACACGAGCTGACGTGCAGGGGTGGTCAACATGCATGGTGAGTGAAAGAGCGGAAGGATTGTTCTCCGCAGGTTCAGCTGTGCTGGGAAGAGTAGCCAATACACGAAATCAATGCTAGCAGTAGTGTAAAGCCACTGCAGGCATCGGCTGATACTTGTGGTTGGCGGAGGTGACGCAGAAAGCCTGTTGCCCGACGTCTATGAAACGGACTGGCCTAATGCAAACATCAGAAGGTCAGCGAGCTCGCGTACCGCATCTGTGGAGTTGCAATCAGTTACCATAAAAGGGTTTCCTGTTGAACTTTCTCAGACTTTTCAACACTGAGCGCATCCTAAGGTAGGCGGCTTATTTAACTGGCAACCTATGGTGAAAATGCGCGTCTTATCATTATTGTTCGCGCTCCACACATCCCTTGCGATCGCCGCTACTACGTTAGAGGATCTGACAGCCTGTCTTCAGACTGCTTCCGTCCCCATCGGCTCCCCCCTCACCCCTTACAATCTTCGCATTCCTGTCAAGCCGATTCTTGTTGCTGTCCCTACAACTGTTGCGCAAGTATCCTCGGCGGTATCCTGCGGTGCAAAGTATGGAGTCCACGTCAATGCTAAGAGCGGCGGACATAGCTACACCTCTTCCGGCTTTGGCGGAGAGGATGGCCACCTGGTGATCAATATGGACCGCATGTATTCGGTAACTGTCGCAAGCGACGGAACTGCCAAAGTCCAAGCCGGAGCGAGGTTGGGCCACGTCGCGACTGAGCTTTACAACAATGGAAAGAGAGCCATTTCTCATGGCACATGTCCAGCGTAAGTCACCCTGCGTTTTGATGCTTCGCGCGGCTTCTTGTACTGGTAGACTCATACGTAAACTCAGTGTCGGTATCGGAGGTCACGCTCTACATGGAGGTCACGGCATGGTCTCTCGGAAGTACGGCTTTGCTATGGACTGGATCAAGGCAGCAACTGTAGTTCTCGCCAATGGAACTATCACGCGCTGCTCCGCAACCGAAAGACCAAACTTATTCTGGGGCATTCGTGGCGCCGGTTCGTCGATGGTCATCGTGGTCGAGCTTGAACTAAACACGTTTGTCGCACCGGAGAAGATGACATACTTTGACATCGACGTCGTATGGGACACGCAGAAGCTTCCCCAACAGCTTTTGGATGCACAGGAATTTGCCAAAGAGATGCCAGCAGAGCTAACCCTATCTGTAAGCTTCAACAACGATGGGTGCTACCTCAACGGTGGTTTCGTCGGAGACGATGCAGCTTTCAAGACGGCAATCCAGCCCTTATTAATGAGACTGGGGGTGAAGGTTTCCAGCTCTAAGACAGTCGGCTGGATCGAGTTTATCAAGCATTATGCTGGCGTTACTGATATTGACATTACTGCCGGCAGCTATAACGAGGTGAGTTGTTTTCCATGACCAACGGTATTCATCACTGATAGGGTTAGCACGACAACTCCTACGCCTCGAGCCTCACGACGCTAGCCTTATCAAAAACAAATTTCCAATCTCTGGTCAACGCGATTGATAAATCAGGCTTTTCTGTCAGCCGTTCCTGGTACATCCACATGAACCTTCACGGAGGCAACCTCTCCGCCATTTCGAAACCGGTCGACGCAGCCTACGCTCACAGAGACAAAATGCTTCTCTTTCAGCTTAAGGACAGTGTCTCTCAAAGCCAGGCCTATCCATCGACTGGTTTTGCACTCCTGCAGGGATTTAGGCAGAGCATTACAAACGGACTTCAGAGTGGGCAGTGGGGCATGTATGCAAACTACCCCGACTCTCAGATATCCGGGGACGAAGCGCCAAAGCTTTACTATGGGAGCAATCTTAGAAGGCTAGAATGGATCAAGGGAGATTATGATCCCACCAATGTGTTCAGAGACAACCAGTCCATAAAGCCTGCAGAGTAGTATTCTACACCATCAGGTGTAGCAATCAAGATCATCCGCATCCTCAGATAGTGCCACACCATTCATTTCCCATTTTTGGCCCCCCAATGTCGATGGAGTTCCGATTCCACTTGCAATTACAATATGCAGAACTAAGTCATTTTGCTTCACCAACTGCGCTCCGCATTGGTGGACGTGGTTGATGTGTTGCTTGACGATGAATAAGCGCCATTGGTGGCTGGGCCCATTTTTGACCTAGGCAGTCACCTACTCGTGCTTGCCAAGATATCCTTACTCAGGAACACCGCCTTAGTCAGATTGGACTTAGATCGTCTTCCGAGATAGGAAGGTATACTCAATAGTTGAACTTGAGGTTCGTCCTTGCGTGGTCTTGGTTGGGAACTGGACCTATATAAGGAGGCCCTTTCTCACACCATAATTGCCAGTTGAGCAACTCAAATAACAAAACGTTCCACGTTCTTAAAGCATTATTCTCTACTATCATACCTATTATACCAAATCTAACTAACGCACACCGTCAATCTCACCAACTCCCGATACGTCTTCACTCACTCCCACGCGAACCCCAAGATGCACTTTTCTTCCATCCATGGCGTTTGCGCGGCAACGGCCGTACACCTCATCCACCCTGCATCTGCCAGTTACGAATCCGGAAAAGCTGTGCAAGTCAACTTCTACTCCAACTCAGGCTGCTCTGCCTATACTAGCGAAATGGCAGCTTGGTGGACACGCTCCCCTCGAGCTGGCGAAAATGTCAACGGGGGATCTGCGTCTGACTGTTTCGCACTGAACATGCCAGGCAATAGTGGAAGCTTGAACGTCGCCAATGTTTGGAAGGGCAGCGGTGCCAAGAGTTCAGGGGGGTGCTCTCTCTATGATGGATATAACTGTGGTGGTGCGTCCACGTATGCCCGCTTCCAGGATGGCACTGGGACCTGTATTGCATCGAGAAGCTCCAACGGGTTGTTGTGGAAGAGCGCTCGTTGCGGCGTCAACCCCAGCTAGTTGCGTAATACTACCATGTACCGAGTTGCTGCTGGGGCTTCGGTAAGGGTCTCGGAGGACAACATGTTCAAGTTACGCGGTGATCGGGAACGATTATTAGAAAATAAACGTCACATTGTAAAACCGGTCCTAGTGAGCCATTGTAGGTCGATTTTTAAAGCTTCAAAAGCTTCTTCATCTCATCTCCCATGACTCCTGTGTGCGGAACTACAAGAGCCCCAGCTTCTGCCAGTGCTTTTGCCTTGATGTCAGCCGGCACATCCCTTGGCGTCAACAGAGCTCCTGCATGCCCCATCGTCTTGCCCTGTGGAGCTGTTCTTCCCGCAACCATGGCGATGATTGGCTTCGGACTACGTGATTTCCTCCTATACTCCTTGATAGCCTCCGCTGCTCTGAGCTCGGCTTCGCCGCCAATTTCCCCAATGACAATGATGCCCTTCGTCTCTTCATGCTCGAAGAACAACCTCAGCCCGTCCAGCAACGTCGTTCCCGGCATCATGTCTCCCCCCATCCCTACAACGATGCTCTGCCCCAACCCTGCCTTTGTCGTCGCGCCCACAGCCTCATAACTCAGAGTACCGCTCTTCGAAACAATTCCGACTGTTCCTCTGGAGTACTGCTTGTATGGCATAATGCCAATACGACACTGGTTTGGAGCGATGATTCCTGGGCAATTAGGACCAACTAAGCGAGTCTTTGTCTGCGTCCGCAGAATCTCCTGAACTCGAGCCATGTCGTGGACGGGTATGTGCTCCGCGACGGATACGACAAGGGGTATTTCAGCCTCGATTGCCTCAGTGATGGCACTTGCTGCAAATTGAGCCGGAACAAACACGGCACTTGCGTGAGGTTTCACTTTGTCCATAGCCTGAGGAATAACTTCTCGTAAACGAACAGCCATTGGCGGGCATTGAGTAGCTTACCTCTTTAACTGTATCGAACACGGGCAATCCTAGATGATCTTTTCCACCCTTTCCAGGCGAGACGCCACCGACAACGTTCGTGCCATATTCTATTGTGTCTTTTGCATTCAAAGTGGCCTTAGCAGTGTCAGCTCGTTGTGCTAAATAGGACAAGAGACGTGTAACCAACTCACAGCTCTTCCCGTAAACCCTGAGCCAGGCATTAGCATTCGGCCTATTCTCTCTTAACGTTCAATGGGTCTCTACCTTGGTAGATGACTCTCGTGTTCCCGTCTATTCTCATGGTTTCAATCGTATCTTCCTCATATGACCTTTGATTCGCGCTCGACGTTGAAAACCTCATGCGGACATTGCCAAATTGCGGTGCTTGCTGGGGCGCCTTGGCCACCTTTAGCCATTGTCGGGTGAACATGCTTGCGGAGAAAAGATCGATAGCCTCAGAAGGAATGAATCACGCAAACACAAGATCATTCAGAAAATTGAGAAAGCCGGATCTACTGAGGCTAATTGATATCGCAGGTCCTTTGCCTCGTGAAGCTGAAGCTACATCGCCCCAAGGATTATCGGATCACTGTTGTCGGAACTAGGGTAGGACCTCGGCTACATAGAGTGCCATATAACCGAGATGGCGCTTTTGGTGATGTCATGGTCTGGCCGTGTTATTTCCCCCGCCCCAACACCAGCGGGGCTTCTGTCGGCTACATGACACTTTTACAAACACCAGCCAGATTCACATCGAGCGGGAATTCCAGATACTCTGATGTCTTGGATCAACACATAGGTTTCAGGCTGCTCTGTGAGGACGCAATCGCTCGGCGACTGTTTATTTTCCCAACTTCAGGTGGTGCGATCGGTAATGAGGTGTGTCGGCAATGGCTCCAACCCCACGTAAGAGGGCTCGGCAAGCTTGTCTCGCCTGCAATGCCAGACGGGTCAAGTGCGATGTAACCGAGAGAGTCCCGTGTCGGAATTGCGCCGCCGCAAACGTGCCGTGTGAGCTCCGAGTGTCACGCCGCGGCAAACATCCGCGGCCCTCCCGGCGGCGTCCCGGACCGGATGTCAATGTCTCTTCTGCACACACGAGCCCATCGCCGGCTTTCGCAGACGACACTTTCGACACCGTCTCCACGATCGATGATGCGGACGAGCACGTCGCTGCATCTCAAGTGCTTGCTGCACTATCGCAGAACCGCGACCGGGAAGATTCTTTCGAAGTATTCGAAGCTGACAGTACCATCACGGTGCGTGAGCCCGAGCCGCAAACAGTCCCGGACACAATCGATGGCAGGCAGGAAGAAGAAACATCAGTCTTCCTGGGAGAGTCGACGTCCATACGGTACGTCACTCATGGGTATCCCACTCCAGCAGGAGCCGGTGTCTCGCCGCCTGAAAACCTGAGGTTTCTCCACTCGGTGCCGAATGCTGTTAGGGCCGAGAACATGATTCCGCCTTGGGAAGTTGAGAGAAGACAGGCTCGCATACGGTCCCTCAAGGCTGAAGGCGTCTTTTCGTTTCCGCCGAAGCTGGCTGTGGAGGCGTTGCTTCGAGCATACTTCAGGTGGTTCCACCCCTGCTTCCCAATTGTAGATGAACAGAATGTATGGGACCAGCATGAGAGGGAAACTCTATCTCCCCTTCTTCTGCAGGCCATGCTCTTCATCGCGGTCATCCACTGTGAAGAGGATGACTTGCCGACAGTTGGTCTTGGAAGCCGCCACATGGCGAAGTACGTGTTCTACAATAGGGCAAAAGACATCTACGACGTCGACTTCGAGCCAAAGAAGTTCACAGTCACTCAGTCTTTATTTCTGTTGAGCTTCTGGCGAGCCGGTGCTCTGCTTGAGAAAGATGCGCGCCATTGGCTCGGTGCCGCCATCAGTCTCGCCCAGACGAAAGCCTTGCATCGATCGGCGCCTACAAAATCATCAGATGCAAATACGGAAAAGCTTCGGCGGCGGCTGTGGTGGTCGATTTACATCAGGGAACGACAATGTGCTGCTGCCCTAGGCCTCCCAAACCGAATCAGGGATGAAGACTGCGACATCGAGCCCCTGAGCGAACCGGACTTCGAACATGCCTTCAGTCTGTCATTATCAGTACCCAAAGCACAAGAGTACACTGCATATGTCATAGGCATGTCTCAGCTCTCTCGAGTTTTAGGAAAGATTGTGCACTGTGGATATCTCCCTAGCAAGTCACTCAGCACGAATGACCGTTCACAGATGAAGGATGATCTTGTTCGATGGAGGCAGAGTCTACCTGCCGCAATGCGTACTGGTACAGATGATCTTGGAGATCCACCGGGGTTTCACTGCAATATGCTACATCTTGCATATAACAATCTTCTGATCCTTCTGTACAGGTCAGGTTGCATCGGTAGTGCAGAGGAAAGCCGAGAAGTTGACGGACAAGTCGCTCTCCAAGCTGCTGCTCGCAACTCAAGGATCATTGAGGATATGCTCCTTGAAGGAAACTTGCGACATGGCCAGATCCACGTCATTACGAACCTCTTCAATACCCTCTGTATACATACCGTTAACCTTCGAACATCCCGGGGTACTGGCCGCGCTATTCTCGAACATAGAGCCAAGTTGTGTCTTCTAGGCTTACAGGAACTGCAGAAGACATGGGAGGTCACAAATTGGGTGCTACAGCTATTTTTCAAGTACCTGGATCGGTCCACAGCGGCGAGACTCCAGATGCAGGATGACTCAGGCGTGACTGGTGCTGCAGACAAGTGTCAGGTGAGCAGTCGCCAAGACGACAGAACGTTGGACACAGGAGGCTCTCCAGTACATGAATCTGGTGGCGACATGGATGGACTTGATACTTTGCTCGCGTCAGACACGCCTTGGTCGTGGTCTACTGAAGAGGCCAATCAGTTTCTCTTCTCGCAAATCGAGAATGATTTTGCGTTTGGCGAGGGCGGAATACTCGAATGGACAAATGCGGCAGCAACCATCTAGGCCATAATAATCTCCATAGGCCAAGTACACGCTCTTCCTTTTGAGGGGCCCCGAGCTCCTGAATAGTCGATAAGAGGCATTCTTGGTACATATTGCTGCCATTGCCAAGTGACTAGTCCTAGTGATTGGCGATATTGTCCTGGGTTGCGAGGGTATGCACATTATACTGTCCCTTTATAGTGACAGTTCCCCCATTATCGCCCATCATGAAAGAAAGTTTGGAGAACATGACACCTGGTTGTGAGAAGATTCCAGATCAATATTGTGAAGCCCATGAAGAGTTTCCAGAACAACAAAGCAAACTGCTCATTGTGTGATTTCGCAGGCCTGGCTGCCTTCCAAGCAGCAGCTAAGCCAACTGGCCAATATGTGGTTACATCATCCCTCAGCCAAAAGCCGGTCGTGATTTTCCTTTCTTTCATTCGTCAGCCTACCATGTTATCACACTCGTCTCTTGCAGATACAAATGGAGATTAAATGGAGACATGACTGTGGCTAACGCGGCTCTGGAACACGTAATAAGACTCAGTGTTGCTGGGCGACGCATTATTCCAACCTGTGGGTATCGCCCTGTCCAATTTCCATCTCTTCTCACATTGGAGTCATCAATAGTCTTTGTTAATATTCCCAGTCCTATTCTTCGTTATCTCATGATCCTCGCTCAGAGCATATGAACAACCCAATGGCGCCTGATCCCGACTTGCTGAACTATTCCATCACTAGGAGAACCAACCCCAACAACATGTTCACGCGTCAGTTGTGATATCGAGAAGCTTCGCCTGCCTCTCAAGAAACTCTAGTTTGGGACGATCGCTCTTCACGGTGACCTTCGCTGAGGCCACACTTAGCGCCTCTGTGACTCTCCCATCTCGAAGTATATTCCTCTCTTAACATGCGTCATACCCGAACTCATACCATCCATGGGCATGATACGATCTTTCTAGAGCTCGTATGGTGATGACTTCAACACAGCACTATGCCCGTTCGTAGTAGTTATCCTCGGTAATACTGATCATGGCGTTACACTGTGCAACACACATGGGTAGTGCTGCCACACCGCGTGTCTGTATGCCTCTGTTGTCCTGGTCGATACAGGCCCAGTCCTGTAGACAGTCAGTGAGACCCGAAATGGGCTTGGAAGCAAGCTATTTGGAGAGGATACTTACGAGCCATACACAAACGGTCTTTGGATTCACGTCCGGATGTTCCAGAAGGAAATTCTTCAAAGCGCTCATCATTTGATGATACTTGGTATTCCCCATATCGTCGGGAGAGAATCCGCCAACACCCTTCTGTTTGGACCATGTGTACGACATGAAAATCACATAAAGCTCTTCATCACCATCATCCCCGAAGCGGCGTGTCAGGTTCTCGCTAGATTTGGGCAGCTTGCCGTGTCTAGCAAAGTCGGCGAAACGTACATATTTGAACGCGTCGAAATGGAGTGCTTTCTCTTCATCCGTAGCAAGAGCCTTCGCGTACACCTGTCGCAGTCTTGTTATGCTGGACCGTTTGTCTGCTTCCAGCAAAACTGGTCGTAAAATCTCCTGCAAAAGCTCCCGGTAGCCCTTGCGAATAGCAGATTCCAGCGCAGATTCTGATGGGTGCTGCTGGACCTCGTCGTGGTTGAGCTGTCGATTCAGCGCCTCGATCAGAATATCCTATGTTAGCTCATCACCACTATAGACTGCGAAGTCCAGTGCTGAGTAGCCAGATCTGTCTCGTAACGTCAAATCCGCTCCAGCATCGATCATTTCCCGTACGTAACCTCGGTACTCTTCGCAAGGCTCTTCCCAGAGGGCTGCAACCGGCGTATATCCATCGGAAGGATTGACTTGAGCAAGAGCCTTTTCTTTTTAGCCATCCAAGAGTAGCGCTCTGCCGTAGTACAGCCTAGACAATGCAATCTTACTGGGATCGCCCGACTGGACGGCCAGCTTTTGACCATCCCAAGCTGCGCCAATCGCCTTATCGAGGTGACCTTGCACAGTGTAACAGAGCGATAGACAGTGGAATGCGATAGCCTCATGTGCTGTAGCGGTCTGAGCCTTAGCTGCTTTTTGACGGGAATCTTCCTGACTGTCTGTTGAAGCTCTCAGCCGTCGGCATATGTCGACCCGTTCTTCAAACTGCTTTATGGCGACAGCCAAGTACTCCTCATCATGGTTTAGCAGGAAAAGTTGGTAGTTAACCATGCCAAGATTACCAATTGCACGCTCTGTTTCCAGCTCGAGCCCAAGATTTTGGCAGATTCATACTGTTCTTCGCAAGTCCGTTTGGCGTCGTTTAATTTGTCTAAATGACGATATACTACCGCCAGCTCTGCAAGTGCTTTGATCCGGCTTTCGTTGGACGGCATATTCTTGACTACTTCTTCGAGGTACTCGCTGGCTCTTGCAAAGCACTGCGATGAGCAAGCAGCGCCTCCTCCAGTTCATTTCCACGGGTATGTGCTAGGCCTTGTTGATAGAACCATTCCCAGCTCCGGAACGCTTCAATTGCTGCTGCAATCGTGGCAGGTGTGGTGGCTTCTGGATCGCTCTCCTGATTGCCTGTGAAGAGTCGTAAAACTAGAATGCTACGTACATCTCATTCAGGTCGACATCCAATCTGTGGAAAGCTCCGACGTCTTTCCTGTAGGTCATGTGGCGCGAGTGGACTTCTGACCGTATCTCATTCGCCTGGACCAGCTCCCCTGTATTGATGTATGTGGCGATGTTTCGAGATGTCCCATCTGCCTTTTCGTTTCTTGTGCTATTGGTGTCGCCTGAAGAGAGCTCATGCCTGACATGTGTTGCTGTAGCTGGTTGTGCCTACTGGATTCGATATTGGTAGTCCCGTGCCTGTCCAAGCAGGACCCAGCTTTGAGCAAACTGTCGGTGCGAAAAGATGACGGGTGTTCCTCCGTTTTCTCGTTGAAATCCGGGGAGCCACATCCCAAGCTGAGCCGATTCGTGAGCATCGCCGTCTTTTACTATGGGCCAAAGAGTGATTGAAACAAATCCCTCGAAGTTGTGATGGACTTTACTGATAATCGACGTCTCTGATAATACCCCTTGAACAAGAGACCATATCGATTCAATTCCTTGCGGAGATCGTTGAGAAGCCTGGTGTCTCGATTCACGTAGAAAGGCGACGGCCAAAGCAAGATTGAAATACTGCCGCAGAAGGCCTGGTGGAGAGATGAGCTGTGTATGACCAATCCATTGGTGAAGAGTCAAGGCGCTGCCAGTTTTCTTAACCTTTGCCGCCAGCTTCTGGACTTCGCTGCTGTAGGGGGGGATTGTTCCATTTTTGACGGCGTCGAGAATTGGCTGGATTTCGGAGACAAGGTTCTTGTCGCACAAACACTTCAGAATACTGTAAATCGATGGCCAAAAGATTCTTGCTTGCTGGCATTTTGCCATGGCTCATTTCTTGATTGGATGCCAATTGTCGACTGCTGTTGGCTTGGAGGAGATTTGTCTCACCTCCGAGAGATTTGTTTCACCTCCGATTGCAAGCGGCAATGTGCCGCTGCAGTGGAGTGTCGGACAGAGCAAATCATATCAGGCATAAGCAGAGCCTGCAGACAGCCTGCGTCAATTATCTTCAAGGCCACGACTGCTACCTTACCCCGCTTCTGAAGTCGCTGCCTGGCGTCAGTTGTCTTCACCATGGACTTCTGTCACGATACCTTTTGAGCAACCACGAAGTTATTACAGGTCTTGTCTCGCTCAGTTATGGCTCCAGCGGCTGATATTGGTGTGGCATTGGCGGGCATCGTGTTTGTTCACTTTTCGTAGAGGTTGATCACTGATGCTAAAGACCTCTATCGTAAGGGGAAAACACAAGCGGAAGAAAGGATTCGCATCGGAAGCCCGACGGATGACCAAAGACTTGAAGAATTTCTGTCTTAATCTCGACGGGAGCTCACTCGGCAAATTCAAGCCCCAAAAGGCCCCGAAGGCTCTTACGATGAACTGTAGTGATCAGGGGATTCGAGGCCCATGGATAACCTCGAAAGCCCAATCTAATAGCCTCCTCCGCCACCAGGCCAATCGTCAGATGAGAATTCGTAGACATGTGCCGCATGGGGCGAGTGACACATGAGACGAACCAGCCATCTTTTTCATCGATATAGTTGTCAAAGTCGATTACTTTACCATAAATGGTTCTGTCAAGTATGTGAGACGTAATATCGAGTAGTCGAGGACAAGATTCGAGCGTCAAAAATAGTCTCATGGGGATTATCATTCACGGGACCGCCTCTTCATTTCTTCTGCAGGCCAACGGACTTTGGGGCTGTGTGGAAATCGCTTCCCTGAAGCAATTTCCAATGTATCTATTGTTTACTTAAGCGCAGCGTGGCTTATGTACGCAACCATGTGTTGCAGGTTTTCCACAGCTGTTAATGCTGTTTACGGGAATGAGGCTTATGACACGGGGTGCTTGTTCAGCCTGATTCCGTAACTCGCAAAGGTCGTCACTGATACTTTTCAAAAGGGGTGTGTTGGTCGCCTGTTGGCTGCCTTCCTGCGGCCAATACAACCATGCAGACAAACTACCCCGCAGTGACTGAGGATTTCCTCGTCCCCGGGTCCTCTGTCGACAGCACTTACTCACCACTTGCTCACCACTTGCATTTGTTCCGTACGCCGTGGAGACTTGTAGTACCCCATGTCTTTGACCGGGTATGTCACGAAAATCAGGAGGTGATCACCCGTAAAGCAGCAGTAACAGCGTATTCTTTCATATCCATTTCAACCAAGTAGATTTGGGACCGAACGGAGCTGTCGCGGTGGACAATCACATAGAAGGATCTGCAACCTCCCCATTTCTTTCAAGCCAGTTGTGCCGACTTGTAGCAAGTTGCGAGAGGTTGCATTCTTGAGATAATAGAACCAAGGGCTGCCTTATGTGCAATAGAAGGACTGGGAAGCGGGGTTAGACCCGGAAAGGAACATTCATCAACGCCATGAAGTGCATTTTCAGGAAGTGCAATTAAATCACAATTGTACAGAGTCGAGGAACGCACAAGGTTGACTAACGTTGTTCTTACTAATTCACCTTTGGCCTTGGCCTATGTTTCTGCCTCAGAAGGTCTATTTAGGCGCGTTCTTCTCTTCCATACTCGTCTCGTGTAAGTTCTTAGACTATCATCAACGTGGATGAGACCGTTGACCCGGCTGATCTCCATCTTTTACTAAGATTACTAGCCTTTGAACTACCTCACCTCAAGCTAAACGGCAAGCTTTTCCAACACGCGGGTTGAGTAGGACTCATCATGGACAATTCTGCATTCACGTTGACTACCTAGTACCTATCGTAAGGTACGGCTGTGTCGTGTCTGAATGAAAGACCGAACTATGATATTACTGCAGGCTTGCCGATGCTAATGGATGCAGCTGCAATTGAAATCGTTCTCTACTGCTCTGGTGCCGGGGTGGGATCGAGGGGCTTCCGTCCCCAAACACACCTCTGACGGTAGTATCCATGCAGCTTACCAGACCTAATCTCGCGACGGAGCTGAGCGGCGTAGATTTGAATCTCCTCCCTGCTCCAAGTTGACATGACGTTAGCCATGAAGAGGACATAGCCTTCAATATCGGAGAGAAGCGTCAACTGCGCCCATTCACCAATTTCTCTCTTCACTGGATCCTTAGGCCAGTTGCCAATGGGTGCCTTCATTGGTCTCTCGTCAGTGCCGCCATTTATCGAAAGAGTGATATATCGTACCTTATTGTTCCACTCGGTAATGTTCTCGAAACCAGCTCCCTCCATGGACGTCTTTTGAAGGTTCTCGTCAAGAACGCGGAACGTCCGGCCCATCTTCCGGCCACCCTCCTCGAAAAACTTGCCCCACTGACCCAGCGCACTAGTCTCCGGAACGGTGTCATCGTCACTCATGATGGCGGGAGAGACTTCGAAACTCTCGAGGTAACCACCTGGCTTGAGAGCCGCGTAGGCCTGCTTGAACAGCTCTGGCCAATCCGCGATACTTCCGACGAGGAAACGGATGTGGATGTAGTCGAAGGTACCAGGAGCAAAAGTCCACTCGCGAGTGCAATCCTCGATCTCGCTATTTCAGTGTTAGTGGGTATGCGATGAGACGAAAGGCTCTCGCACTTACAACTTGCAGTTAGGAGGAACCCATGTTGGCTGAATGGGCGAGATGTCGGTTCCGATAACCTCGCATTCCGGGTTCTCATCGGCGAAGTCACTGAGCAATGTTAGAGATTGACTGGCATCGCATAATATCGAATCCTTACATAGCCCAGATGCCTGCGTTCAAACAGTGAATCAGCTTCAGTCTGATGTAAGTCGAACCCTTGCATGCTCACCAGTTCCAGTTCCAACATCGAGGGCTTTGGTCAGCTTGCTCTTGTCTATCGGTGCCAAGTGAAGCTTATCGCCGCAAGAGAGTGTCAAAAGATGATGGCTGCCGCATGTCAGTCCCCTGTCAGGTTCAGTATGACTTCTTCATCTCACTTGATGTCCCAGCACTCATTCTGCTGCTCGTCGTTGCTCCCCCTACAACTAGTGTTAGTGACATGACAGACCGCAACCGGACTCAGAGCATCTGACCAGTACTGGGCATTTCCGACCTCGCCGTGAAACGTGCGTCCGTGAATCTTTCGGTACTCGAGAATGGTAGAGGTGATCGACGCAGTAGAGCTGGCGTTGTCGTCGCCTAGCGCCGAGTCGTTGTCGCCGTCATTAGCAACCTCCTAGCACGCCGTCAATCATCTCCGGTACCAAGTTTGGGAACGCGGTCGGACCGCCAGGTCGACTGACTCGTGCCGCCTGCACCCAGTGCTCAGCCGGCAAGATACCAGCGGCGGCCGCCGTGTCCTGCTGCTGCTGAGCGGCCGCGGTCGCTTGATCCTCGTCCTGTTCGGGGCACATTTTTGATGATGCTCCGTCGTCGTTTCGTCGCGATGCTATGCTTCGTCGTCTGCCGTTCCCTACCAAGCGGAGAAAAGGAGAAAATAAGGCTTCGACGGGACGAAAGAGTGTGGAACGTGTTCCCACGGGTCACGAGAATGATCCCCGGTCCCTGTCCATCCTATATCAGGGAACCTCCATAGGACATCCCCACAGCGGATAACGCGCGGTCGTGCGCATTCTCGCCTTCTGAACGAGCCCCTCGGTCGCCTGGCTCACCGCATCCGCCATCCCGGACTGGGGATCCAGCCAGCCGCCTTTCGGCGGTGGGTGGTGGCCTATCTGCCGGTGGTGTCAGCTTGGGGTTTTGCAGGTTTTCGACGTGTCATGGAGCGCCAAGTCCGCGGACCAAAACATTTGAATACTACCATGTTCGGCGCTCGTCACCAAACCAGGGGCACAGGGGACGGAGATCGACGAGAGTTTGGCCATTCAAGTGGACATCACGGCATTCTTCAGCGGGACTCTGGCCACGCACAAACAGGCATGTTGAGGGGCATGCAAGTGTTCTCCACGGCATGCAGCTTTGGCAATGAGGATACCGCCAACCAGACGTGTTCGGTTGGGATTCTCTGATGGATCGATGGAATTCTGGACTCCATTATGTCCGCCCAAGAAAAACACATGGAACGAATACACGTGGGAATTTTCCCGCCTTTTCTCAGTACGTTGCATTCAGGCGCATCTCGATGTACTCCCGGCTGTTGATCGGGTCATACTTCTTGGGTCGCTCGGGCCCAAAACAGCCAGGAACGCAATCAACAGTCTTTTCTGAGTCGGCGCCGATGAAGTACGGGATGGAATAACGCGCCCGTGTGACTCGACTGCCGCTCACATCCGTTTCCAGCGGCGGCGCCCGGACACGATGCATCGTCGACCTGAGCGTGTCGTTGCTCCACCGCTGCATGAAGTCGCCAATGTTGACGACGATCGTCCTAGGTATATACGGCACTGGGACGAAATGTCCCGCTTCGTTAGGATCTTCTACCTCCAGCCCTCCAACCTCGTCCTGGAAGAGCAATGTCATGGACCCAAAATCAGTGTGCGCACCCAACCGCTCGACCTTTCCCGCGCGAAGCAACTTTTCCTCGGCCGGTGGATAATGGAGGAGCCGAATCTGGTTGTCCTTGTTCACGTGGTACCCCTGGAAAAAGGCCTCGTCTAATCCCATTCCCAGCGCCATTCCCCGGAGCAGGTGGAGTTCCAGCTGGTAACAGTCCTCGTAGAAGCTGTTGAAAAACGCCCGAAAGCCGGGTAGCAACTCGTCGGGAATCCAAATGTTGGGGAGATGATCATCATCCTCGCGGCCAATCTCGTATGATTCCTTGAAGTCGGGGATCTTGCGACGCTCGCTGATTTCGTCGGCGTCAAACACCATTTGCGTGACCTTTTCTCGGCCTAAGCCCGAGTACCCCCGGTGCCACCATCCCTCTGGGGGATGCGGTGCTTTTTCCTTCTCTGCCTGGGGCAACGAGAAGAACTTGGCGCTCTGGATGGAATTGTGAGTTGTGATATCATGCACAGACATGAGTCGGGAGAGACAAACCCACTGGAACGCGGCGTCCACGGTGTCCTGCGGCAGCCCATGATTTCTGACATACGCGAAGCCGAAAGTCTTGAATGCGTCGACTAGCGCTTTGCCCGCCTGCCGCGCTGTTTGCGCTTGCGCGCTTCTGAGACCGTCCAGATCGACGAGGGGAATGCTCGGGTGCTCCGCTTGCGAATCGCACGCGGCGCCGTTGGATGTTTCTGGCATTCGCGATATTACAACGTCGGATTACAGTAAAGGTGTGTAAAGTATTGGATGAAAGAGAGTGGTATTTGTTGAGGTTTGAATTAGGTTCCTTTGAACCCTCCAGATCCCCGCCTTACCGCCTCCTGCAGGATGACGGGATGACGTCGATCGCCGCGAGGTCATTCACATGGAAATCATTAGGCGACACAGGCCACAAATTAAGAATAAAGCGGTAGATCTGCGAAAAATGGACGTTTTTGATGTACCGGTAGTCTCCTGTTCAACGATTGATAAGGAATTATCTTGTCAACATACTGACTCCAGACTCGTTTTATGATCATTCGGAATTCAGGAATTGACACATCAAGGGGACGACCAGGTCCAGGGCGCATGCGCAGAACCGCCGACTCAAAATCCGATAACCTGGGAAGGGGATTTTTTTCTGCGGTGGAACGAGTCGTGTTGAATTATTTGGGATCAACCCCTGTCAACTCGCTGTTCTGAGTGATCCATCTTTCGGAGTCGGGCGCCATGTCCGATACCAACGGATCATGTCACTTGCTTATTTCGAAACCAACGACCCTTACCCAATCTAACCAGCGTCTTTGAGTAAGGGGAGGCCATCAGTCTCACCTCAGCAGTGCACGTATTCTACGTCCCGTAATATCCGAATCGAATTGCGCAAGCGGCAATCCCACATCCCTCGTCATCTTTCTTTGACATTCCCGTTCAGGCCGTTCGCTGTTCGACACTACAGCGGTGGAAATGGATTAGTCGATAAAGGAAGTACATCCTATTCCGCCCTGCCAATTTGATTGTGAGTGAAAGCCTCACACAGACTCCTGTAATTAGCGGATGAGCTACACGTTTCGAAGGTAGGTGCTCCTAGATTATTTTCAACCAACACCAGAACTCCGAGGCCATCGGACAGGTGCCCTTCAACTGCCGGTTAGGGCGAATACCAACTATTAAATACTCAGATAAGACAGGATATACGCATATTTCCAGGGCTCGTCGGGACATGGTAGAGCCTGCATTGCTTCTAATCTGCTGACCCCGTTCCCAGACGCGGATGGAAGGTGTTCAAGATAATCGGTTTTCACAACTCCATGCTATCAGGAAACAACAAAAGCCTCTATGTTGATATCTAGTCATCCTCCTTTACCCCAACTCTTTTAGAATTGCGCAGTGTCAGTGAAATGGGTGGCTGTGGGCTATTGGGTGTCTGAAAACGATGATGATACTGCGAAGTACTGCTGCGGATATTGATGCGAGTTAATTCTCATCTGATCTTCAAGGATTTCCACTACAGTTGATTCCAACAGAACCTACACGTACGTTTGCTTCAGTCCCAAGACCATGGCAAGTCGTGTTATCATCGTTGGGACAGCTCCAGGGCGGCAATAACAAAATTTGGTGAGCGGGCTGTGAGGAAATAGCCATAGGTACACAGTGTCCATTCAAATTAGCTTTCGAGATGGGGGAAAGTTTTAAAATGTGATCTTTTGCCGACGGCTTCATTGGAGTTGCACGTGGAAACCAAACCATTGGGCTGTGGCTTGATCTGCTGTCTTAATGAACACAGGCGATATTACCGGCTTCGCCTACTTGCGACGCCGCATGTACCGTTCACCGAATGACAGTCGACGAATGCGCGTCGTGCACCTCAACCGTCAAAACAATTTACTGCCTTACTCCTAACTTACCCATCTTCAAATTCAATAGTCAGCACTCAAATTACACCTTTGCGCAGATTCGTAGTACATTAAATAAAAAGCCTCCTATGCGGGCGCCGTACATAGCCCTAAACTTTCTATACGCTGCATACCCTAAACAGGGGGGAGTGTCGTATCAGAATACATTCTCGTAGTCTTCTGTGGCTTTTTTGAATGTTATCCAGGCCGATTTTCAATTCTCAATATTGAAAATCGGGATGCCTACCACAGCCCTGGCGACATACTTAAGACGCGGCTGCTGGTGCCAAGTCGTGCGCCCATGCCTCATGAAGCAAAACATCCAGATTCCTACAACTTCATGATGCGTTCCACACTGCCCGCTGCGTGGTGCCTAGTGCTGCAGGGCGTTTCATCTACGGATTTATATTCTCAACTCAGTAACACCGACATGGTGATCGAGAATGGGAAAGACTTGCACTTGAGCTATGAGGTCGGCGTTGAAGGATTCAGGGAGTCGATGCACGAGGACATGGCCATCGCTGCTTTCATCGGATCCAAGCACCCTTTCCCCGAGGTAACTGAGTATAAAAGTCTCAACGCGGACCAATGGGAATATATGCGAGGGCTCATCTGGAACGACGACCCAACTTGCCTTTTGTTCGTCGACTCGAAGGAAAAGAACAACCAGATAAGCGCCGCCACGGACTTTCTTGGGGAGTTCTTGACCGGCGAGGAATCTGGACTCACGAAGCGGAGTCACTTCGGTGACCTTCAGTTCCTTCATGCCATGGGTTCGCAGGCCAATGAAGACCCTAATGTCACCAAGAAGAACATGATTGATTGGCTGGAGATCATGTACAAACTTGCGATAGGCCAGGATGTGACGGCAGCCGACAGGCTTGACACGAGGTTTCCCGACCGATTTAATGCCAGCTCGATTCCCTCGGATGACATGAGCATAAAGCAACTGTTTCTGGGCACAACTCCGTCCTATCAACATGCCGATATTCCCAAGCGAGCCCTCGGAAACTGCCTTCACATGATCCAGGACTCATATGCACTTGGGCACACGCTGAGAAGGCTCAAGAACCCAGAGGATCTGGACGCAAATGATGAAGAAGGTACGCTTTTCAGCATCAATGCGATTGCTATCAGGAATCTTTCAGCTGTGGCTACTTCCATCAGACCAATGACTAACGACTCATCACAGGGTATCGCCGATTCAAGCCCGGAAAGCACGCAAAGCTCGGGCCGGTAATCACATTCCACACATATGCGAACCAGTCGGGCCGACATTCTCACTACGACGGATCGAGGCTGAAGCGGGTGCCGAGGGACCTCGACACTTTTAACAACATCATCGGTGCCCGTGACGGGATTGACAAGTCCAGGAAGCTCATCAACTTCTTCGCCCAGAAGACCAAGTGGGAAGATGGCGTTCGCGACTTTTTAGACCAGGAGGTTTTCGCGCTTGACTCGAATGTGACTCTCAGCAACTCGCAGGTCGACGAGCGCTTTGGTTCGCCAGACACGAGCGGCTAGTCTGCATTCGATGCCGCACGGATTGCAAACGCTAGTCCTCGTGTTCGTGAAGTTCGTCGTCGGCATACGTGGCTTAGCCTTGGGTTCCTTGCTTGCGCGACTACTTCTGAACGTCTTCAAGATTGAAAGATGCGACGATTCCGTATCACCATTGTCCTTCGCAGCTAGGCACACGATACATTGGATTCTCTTTAACGAACGAGTGGAACTATATATCTACAAGGTGTGATCCTTCTTCCCTTCTAACTTTTCCTTCGCAGTTTGCCTCCTGGAGGCGCACCTTGTTGACTGCCGTATGAATCTGACGGGGAAATCTATGGAGGGAGCGTAACCTCTTTGGCTAATCCAGGGGGTAATACAAGGTGTGATCGCAGGCAGCATGTTACAGTAACAGGCTGTGCCAAAGTATGAAGCTAGAAGGGAAAACCATGTGAAAGCCCGGCGTATGTTCCCTTTCAATTCTGTTCTTGAGACGATATACCAAGCTTTAGGTGAGCTTGATCTCATACGCAAATGCCGTTGCAGCAGTTGGTGGGTCGTTTGGAATGGTAAACTATTAAAAACATGTTAATATCGAAAAGCTCTTATCTGCTCGTAAGAGTCAAAACTCACCTCGCCATCAGAGTAGCTGTACGTGAATGAGCCGAGGTCAAGGGCATCGTAAACAAGTCCTTGGGTACCGCCCCAGTCAAATTGATACCTGTGGACGTCCAAGTTACCCTGCGCAGGGAGTCCAATTTCAGCTAAGCCCTTGACGACGATATCATAGCGGTTTTGAATAGTTCTAGTACCAGCGAGGATCTTCAAGTACCCGTTCGATGAAACGGCGAAAGCATCAAACTTCAGGTCGGAGGACGCGGCTGTCACCACCCGCTCTCCAACCATGTTCCCATAGTACTTGTAGAGTTGCCATTCTCCGTTGGGGTAGTAGCCCTGATCGTTCTTCGCAACCAGGTTGCCCAAGTAGTTGTGCAGATTCTCGCCGCCCTCCCAGTTGGCGCGCAGCCCGCGAATGTTGTGGCGCTCCAATTGTGCAAGGTAGTAAGCCGAGTTAGCAGGGTTTTGTTCATCCGGCCAGGCGTACTCGTTGACGTCGATTGGCCTCTCCGGGAGCCCATACTCGGCTAGGAGAGCGCGAAGGGCAGGCACAGTTGTATCGGGTTCTCGCTCCCATGCCCCGATCTGATGCCATGAATAGATGTCCGGGGCCACGTTGCCTTGAGCGACAGCTTGCATCCAGGCTCGCCAGTTGGCGCTGTCTTGGCTTGGCGAATGAGCTGACGATGGCCCGCTGATTTTTGCTTCGGGCATCTCATTCCTGTTTCAAGCACGTCAATTGACAAAGAATGCTTAAGATGCAGGTGTAAACGGACCTCAGCAGCTGAGAAGCTCGAACATAATACTCCACATATTGAGACCAGGGACGATTCCAGAAGCCTTCGAGATCAGGTTCGTTCCAGAGATCAAACACTAGACCGTCGAGCATGTTGTTGGCTCTCACGTCAGAAATGAGACGGCGGATGAAGGCTTCCATTTCAGACCAATCCCCGTTATCGCCCGGGAAGGGAAAGTCAGCAGACGAACCGCCCTGAGAGCCCCAGATGTCGTGGGGGAGAAGGATGAAGTCCGCATTGTACTTGCGAGTGGTACGATAGTTAGAAAGCGTTGAATCTAAGCGGCCACGGTACCCTTCTTCACCTCCGATAGCCCAGCCGGAAGCAGCGATCTGAGCACCGCCAGCGCGGCACGTCCTGAATTTGATATCGGTGAGGAAGTGGTCCGGAATCGAGTTGTCGGCATCCT